CAGGAGGCGATGGCGAGGCGGGGTGGGGTGGGGGTGTATTGTGGGCCCCCCCCCGTGCCTGCCGTGGGGGAGACAGTACAGAGCTCGCACAGCTTCCTTCTCCCGGGCGTTTGGAGACGCGCAGAGGCGAGGAGCGCGCGGGCGGGTCACAGACAGCGAGTGTGGTGGGCGCGCCTTGCATCCGGATCCCGGCCTTGCGCCCCCCCGCGGGCCCGGTGGCCAGCCCCTTGACCCGCAGCTGGACCAGCCGACTGGTGCGGCTGTTGAGGAGTTCCGCGCCCGCGCGACCGATCTGCGCGGGCGGCAGGTCCAGGTTCATACTCATCCTCTCCGAGAGCGCCTAGTAGTGGTAGTCATGTCCAGGATCGGAACCCTGTCCACGTCCCAAGCGACTGGCGACAGGAGCGCCTTGGCGAGCTCGGCCGCCGCCGAGCCGCTGCTGCGAGAGCCGCCGCCGTCGGCAGGAGGCGCGGGCGACGGGACGGCGTTGGCGGGTCCCGAGGTAAACCAGTTCGCACGTGACACCTCAAACCCCAAGTCGTTCGCCGGCTTGAGTTTGTCGAGCGCCACCTTCAGCGAGACGTTCGCGAGCGACCACTTGCGCGTAGGATCATGCCAATCCGAGCAAGACTCGATTCGGTCGCCGCGCCTGATGCCCGCGAGCTCCGCGGGCGAGTCTAGCCGCACCTCGACGACGCTGTGCGCGCTGTCCACCGCGAGGCCGAGGCGGCGGGTCTCGTCCAGCGTCACGCGCAGCGTGAGCCGGTTCGAGTACTCTGAGTTCGACATGAATCTAGGACTGATCCGAGCACACAACCAAACCCAGGTGAGCGCCGTTCATAGAACAAGCGAGCGATGTGAACGCCCAGGGAACCGATATGCCACCCCAACCGCCCGAGCGCCCGAGGTGGGCGCTCGGAGGCCGGAGGCATGAGAAAGCCGACGTGCGCGGGGCGCACGAGCGGCGGAGCGAGAGCGGGCTCGCGTATGGAGTGTGTGTGTGTGTGTGTGTGTGTGTGTGTGTGTGTGTGTGTGTGTGTGTGTGTGTGTGGCACGCGCGCGGATCTCCATGCGTCCGTGCGCGTGTGTGACGAGGGAGCTAGCTCGTCGGCTCGCCAGGCTCCGCTGTGTCAGCAGCGCCGCGGGCGGCGCTCCCACGACGGTGGAAGCGCCTGGTAGGATCCGTCCAGGAGCCACAGCCGAGAAGCTCGTAGGCCTCGGGCGACGGCAGCACCGACGGGTCCATGTAGTGAAGCTCGCGTGTCCGGCCATTCTGAGACCAGCCGCCGAGCCAGTTGCCCCGAAAGCGGGGCACCCGGATGGCCTCCGCGGCGCTTGAGCCGCCAGAGCGCAGCGAGTGGCCGAGGTAGACGAAGCCGGCCGGAGCCCGCACGCCCTCCTCGTCGAGCGTCTCGCTCACCCAGCCCACCATGTGACGCCGGCCGCCGCTCGCCGGGAAGCTGGAAGAGCCACTCAGGCGCCGCCCCGAGCGCCGCCCGGGCGGCGAGGTAGGCCCTGTCTAGCTCCCCGAGCTGGGGCAAGAGCGAGGCATGGCCGTGAAAGGACCTCGCGGTGAGGGGGAGGCGCACGATGGCATGCGCCGGAACGCCCAGCCGCACCGCATCTTCTCGGAGATGCGGAGCCAGATGAAGCCCGAGTTGCCTTCATCGATACCGTGGTCGGCGGAGCGGAGACCGGTCGAGGTGTCTTGCCGCCCCATGAAGACGAAGGAGAGGACGAAGGCGTAGCGCCTCCGGAGGAAGTCAGCTGCGCCTCGCGAACCCTTCCTCGCCGCGAGAGAGGGCAGGGCTGCGAGGGTGGCGCGGAGGATACGCGCCGCCGCAGCCGCCGGCATTGGGACACGCGTGTCTCGCGTGTCGCAGCGAGCCTGGCCCCGCGCCATGCCCCGGCGCGCCGCGGTCACGAGGTGGCCGAGGGCAGGCTTGTCGAAGCCGTAGTCGGCGTGGTACGAGTTGATGGCCGAGAGGTAGGGCTGGAGGCTGCTCGCAGCGATCGTCCCCTTCTCGGCCAGCGCGCCGACATAGGCGAAGATCATCTGCGGGGTGGCGGGCAGCGGGTCGAGGCCCTCCTCGTCGCACCACCCCTCAAACTCGCGCCAATGTCGCGCGTAGCCCTCGGTGGTGGAGTCCTCCCGCGCCGACGCCGCAAGGCGCATGGCGGTGCCGCCGCCCCGCCATGCGCCGACTTCCGATGCCAGCCTGGCGAAGGGCGAGCCCCGCGCTGAGCGGAGGCTCATCGAGTAGCGCTGCTGACGCGGAAGATTGCCACCGGCCACGACGCCAGCCGCGGCGGGGCGTCCGCTGCCACGCGCTCGCGGCGTGGGCTGCGGGGGCGGCGGAGAGGGCAGCGGAGCGGGCGGCGGCGGAGGCGGAGGCGACGCGGCACGCCGAGGAGCTGCTGGCGGAGGTCGAGGCGGAGAAGCGCGGCAAGGGCAAGAAGGGGAAGAAGAAGAAGAAGGGCGGCGGGAGCGGCGGCGCTGGGCCGTCGCAGGATCCCGAGGCGGCGTCAGAGGCAGCCGCAGCCAAGCCCGCGAAGCTGGACAGGGAGGGATTGATCAGGCTTCTCTCGAGACGCTCCACGAGGAGCGGATTCGGTACGGCATCACGGCGGAGACGTCGGTCGAGGGGCTGGCCGAGGCGTTGGGAGAGGAGCAGGTCTTTTGGCACTCGACCATGTCGTGTTTGTGGGATCCCAGTTATTTTCACACTCGTTTTTCGGAAAAATTACGATTTTTTTCGATGCGACCGGGGAGATCGCGTCGTCCATGCACATGCAGTTGCTACAACATGTACATGTGTAGTTCGTCGACACCGCGGCGCGCGGGACGGGACTCGGGAGACGAGAGCAGCGCAGCATCCCGCAGCAAGACCCGCAAGCCAAGATGAATCAGTCGCTCCGCCGGAAGCGTCTCTCATGACAACATGCGTGTGCATTCATGACTCAGTAAGCAGCAGATGAGATGGGGAACCCGCCCCGACGCGCGCATGCAGAGCGGCCGGCGCCCCCCTGCGCCCCCGCGCTTGTGTGCGGCTTCACTCTTGGCTTCAGTCCGCCGGCTTGGCGCTGCTCGTATCGAAGCCGAGGTTGAGCGCAGCAAACAACGCGGGCGCGGCCTGCAGAAGAGCCGCAGGGTCCGCGTCACCGTTGATCATGGATGCGAGTTGGAACGGGTCGAGTTCACCGCTGAGCTCGATCGTGGGCGGCGAGGCCTTGGCGGCGGCCACCTCCTTGCCGATGGCCGCGCGGAGCTGGGCCTTGGCCATCACCGCGTGCTGCGCGAAGATCGGCCGACGGTGGCTTGCAGCCGGCTCCAGCTCGACCGCGCGCTCGTAGCTCTTCACGCACGACCGGATCTGCTCGATCGTGGGGCTCGGCACTCGCCACGACGGGCGGCCAGGGTCGCAGACGTGCGCGTTCGCCAACATAACGTGCGCGTGCGCGTAGTCGGGGTCTGCGTCCACGACCTTGGTGGCGAAGGCGATGTTTGAATTCGCGTCTGTCATCCACGAGGCCAGCGGCAGGTCGCCAGCCATGGTGCAGTATGCGATTCTGCTGCAGCGCGGCCCCAGTTGCGCATCATGAGCGTGCTGCCGGAGAAGGCGGATTTTTGGCCAGGTCCGCCAATCAGGTCCATCACCTTGGTGTAGCACGGGACTGCGCCGGCAAAGTCGTCGCTTTGCTGGAGGATGTCGGCCATCAAGAAGTGTGCCGTTGGGCAGGTCGGGTGGAGCGTGATGGCCCTCTTGACGTACTTTTTGAAGGTCTTCGCGTCCTGCTCTTGCAGCGCTTGCGTGGCCTTGGCCAGCAGCGCAGCGTACTCCCGCTCTACTGGCGACCGGGGCCCCGCGGAGGTGTCCTCGCTCAGCTTCGAAAAGAGCGAGCTGCACTCCTTCACCTTCGGGTCAGAGGGCCCGCGCTCGCCCCGCCGCTTGTGCCAGCGCTTGTGACCCTTCCAGGCCAGCTTGAAGCAGACATCCGAGCAAAACCGTGCTGGGATCGCCAGTCGCATCTCGGTGCAGACCGGGCAGCACTTGAAGCGCTGATCGGGTTGCTGCAGGAGCCCGCACTGGGCGCAAGAGTCGCCCTTCCACGGGATCTGGGCCGAGGCTGGCTCGCGCTCACGCTCTTCGATCCAATCGGCGGTGCAAGTCTGTGGCGAGCCGTGGCCACGAAGCAGTGCCGCAACGTTGTGATGGCCGCTGCTGGACGCAAGGGCGAGCGCATTCATGCCGGCCATTTCGAGGTCGGTGCGAGCGCCAGCCTCCAGGAGCAGCTTTGCAATCTCCAGCTGCCCGGACGCCGCGGCAAACATGAGCGCCGTGCAGCTCATCTGACCCTGCATGATGCACTGTACGTCAACCTGTGCGCCACGCCGCAGGAGCTCTTTGGTGAGCTCGAGGTGGCCGCAGCACGCCGCACGCTGCAGCAATGTGCCGCCATCAAGAGGGTGCCGCGCCTCGATCGCTCCTGCCGCCTCGGCGTCAAGCCACCCGGCAACCACAGCCACATGGCCATGCGTGGCAGCGTTCGCAACGTCGCGGGGCATCCGCGGGGAGTAGGCGAGGTTCTGCGGCTTCACAGCAACAAACCGGTTGGAAAGGATGAAGGTCGTCCCTTGCCCGCTCTTCACCTCCATCTCGAGCTGCACGTTGAAGCGGCCGCTCTCGTTCTGGTCGCTGATTTTTCCATACGTGCCATTGAGCTCTGGCCGTGACAGTATCCCATCGATGCGAACGCGCCTACCGGGGGCCAGCGGCGCGGCGACGCCCTCCATGCTGCAATCCTCCATGCTGATGGCAAAGACCTTGAGTTGGGAGCGCATAAACAACAAAAAAATCACGACTGCGGCGTCACCCCAGGTCTTGGACACAACAGCGATGCCGACTAAAAGAAAACCACTTGTCCAGAATAGCGCTACCACGTACAAGACCGTCCGATTTCATGCACCTCCCTGCGCCGACTCCGCTTTCACAGCCCACTCACATCTCGAGCTTCAGCCCTTCCCGCCCGCTCACCGCATCTCGAATCACTCCCTTCCCCTCGTCGCCCAAACTGTTGTAGCGGAGGTCGATGTTTTTCAGCACCGCGTTGACGCGCAGAGCGGAAGCCAGTGCCTTGGCGCCCTCGTCGCCGATCTCGTTGCCGTTGAGGTAGAGAGTTTTCAGCACCCTGCTGAAAAAACGGAAAAAATAAATCATTAAAAACGTATATTCAGCCGCATCTCAAGCTCTTCAAGACAACCCACTCTAATCCCATGCACGTCTACACCATCTCCACTCTCAGAGCCCACTCACATCTGGAGCATGAACCCTTCCCGCCCGCTCACCGCATCTCGAATCGCTCCCTTCCCCTCGCCCAAAGCGTTGAAGCGGAGGTTGATGTTGTTCAGCACCGCGTTGCCGCGCAGCGCCTCGGCGATCGCGGCGGCGCCCTCGGCGCGGATGTTGTTGTTGCCGAGGTTGAGGGTGGTCAGCACCGCGTTGACGCGAAGAGCGGATGCTAGCGCCTTGGCACCCTCGTTGCCGATGCGGTTGTTGTAGAGGTTGAGGGTTTTCAGCACCCCGTTGACCGCGAGAGCGCCGCCGATCGCCTTGGCGCCCTCGTCGCCGATGTTGTTGTCGCCGAGCACAAGCTCGGTCAGCACCGCGTTGCCGCGCAGCGCCTCGGCGATCGCGGCGGCGCCCTCGGAGCCGAACACGTTGTAGCGGAGGTCAAGGGTTTTCAGCACCCCGTTGCCGCGCAGCGCTTCCGCGATCGCAGCGGCGCCCTGGTCGCGGATCTGGTTGTTGGCGAGGTTGAGGTTTTTCAGCACCGCGTTGACGCGCAGAGCGGAGGCCAGCGCCTTGGCGCCCTTGTCGCCGAGTCCGTTCACGCCGAGCCGCAACTCGGTCAATACCCCGTTGACGGCGAGCGCCTTGCCGATCGCGACGCCACCCTCGGGGCCGATCTTGTTGTTGAAGAGGTTCAAGTCGGTCAGCACCGCGTTGCCCTGCAGCGCCTCGGCGATCGCGGCCCCGCCCTCGTCGCGGATGAAGTTGGTCTGGAGGTTTAGGCTGGTCAAGACCCCGTTGCCCTTGAGGGTGTCGGCGATCGCGGCGGCGCCGGTGGGGCTGATCTGGTTCCGGGAGATGTTTAGCTCGTTCAGCACCACGTTGAATTTGAGGGTGGAGAACAAAGCTCTGCACGGCTCATCCGTGAGTCCGACCCCCGTGAGGTCGCACTGCGAGAGGTTCTCGCACAAGTTGAGACACCGGCCGAGCTGCTCCATGTCGCTCACTGATGGCGCCGAGATGCCCGTGAAATCGAGCATCTCGATGCCGCTCAGCTGCGCTTCGCTCATCTTGCGGTACAGCGTCTTGACCGTCTCCTTGTCCGCGCCGTTGGTGAACTCCTTGCTCTCAATCAGCTCGTCGAAGCCGTCCGGGTCGAGTGGCCAGTTGCGGCTCCCTGCGCCGTCCTTGTCGAGATCGCCGGACCCGAGATCGCGGACGAGCTTCCACTCTGCCTCGTACAGGTAGACCTTCTTGATCTGCTCGGCGGAACGGCGCTCGTACGTCGTCCAGCCTGAGTCATCGTAGCCCAGTTTGCGCTGCGTGCCCTCCGGCAGCTGCGTGAGCAGGTACACCGTCGTGCCCTGGTGCGCATACCAGAGGTCCATCGTGTTGTGCAGCGCGTGGCCGAACGCCTCCTTCTCCTTGAGCGTTCGGCTCTCCTCGTACGCCTTGCCGCCGTAGAAGGCGCGCCTCTCCTTGAGGTCCTCAAGGAAAGCCTCTCGCTCGGGACCCTCGGGCTTGGCCTCGGGCGTCTCGGTCTCTTGGAAGTACTCGGGGTCCTTCTGGTAGAGCGCCGCCCAGTCCCAGAAGACGCCCATCTCGGTGAAGCCCATCTTGGCGTACTCGGGCATCTCGCGCTCGAGGGCGGCGGCCACCGTGGCGAGCTGCTTTCCGCTCGGGTCTGGGTGCTGCGGGGTGTCCCAGCAGAAGGAGACGGAGAGGATGGGCAGCACGCCATCCCGGTTGCCGTCGCCGTACAGGCTCTTGAGCTCCTCGACGCCGATGAAGGCCTCGGGCGGCAACTCCTGGCGCCGGCAGAGCACACCACCCTCTTTGGCCAGCTCGACGAGGGACGAAGCCCGGAGCAACTTGACGGTGTCCGTTGCTAGAGCCTCCCAGATGGCGTGCGGCGCCGTGTAGCGGTTGAGGTCGGCAGTTTTTGCCTCCGCTGCGGCCGACTCGGTCATGATCGTGTTGCTGGCCGTAGAGCTGAGCTCCTGGTGCGGCGACGGTGCTCTGGCGAGCGGCGCCGTGTCGCGGTTGAGGTCGGTAGTCTTCAGCTTGGAGATGCAGCAACCCATTGTCCGCCTGCGGCGGGCCGTACAAGCAACAAGGAGGGTACATGTACACGAGTACCTTTTCTTCTTTTGCGCTTCCATGCACGCGGACCACGCTTGCGTGGATACGTGGCTGGCAGGCTGACCCGTGTGCGGGGTAACCCGCGCACGGGGAAGCTTCACGGGTTCGAGCCGTCAAACATCAACCCTCGGAGACCCGTGTTTACTTTAAGGCCCTTTCCCTGCGAACGCGCACCCCCGGGGCTAGGGCTCTCTTGCCCGCAACCCGATCCCGATCATCCGGCCCGCTGGGTGCGCTTCTGAGCTCCCCGGCCCTGGATGTGAGGCTGCCAACTGCACTCCAAGTGCTCCAAGTGCTCATCTCGCCGTCTGCAGCACAACGCGGCCCCGCCCCCACCCCGTCGCGTGACGGGACAGCGATACGTGTGCGCGTGGTGTGTAGGCGTGTAGTCTCAGGCCTGTCAGCGCGGCGCGGCGTTTGAGTGAGGTGGGGCGGGATGGCGAGGAGAGAGATAGTGTCAGTAGCGGAGGAGGGTGTTGGGAGGCCGTCTGGGTCTAGCTCGGCGCTGCCGTCGGTCGCGAGGTCAGTGACGTAAGTTGAAGAAATCTCGGGCACGGTGGGGTCCGATATGATTATCATTGGGTGATGAATGACAGAGGAGATGCGGGTTTCGGAGGGTATGGATCACTAGTCGTTGGAGATAGCCGAATGATCACGCGCGCGTGCAGGCGAACAGGGTAAGGGAGGCACCTTTGCGACGCCGCGAATCCAGTCGATCTGCGCGCACGGCGGTAGAGCGAGGGTCGAGTCGATCGGCGTCCAGATGTCGTGCTGCAGGTACTGAAACGGCGCCTCCGGGTCGCAACGGCTCTTGTGGTGCGCGTCGCGTACCAGTGGCGTGACGTTCTGAAGTCGGCGTAGCTGGTGCTTGATTGATTTGTAGCTGCGGACACCAACGCGTATCTCGTTGATCTTTGCGCCGCTCTGGTACGTGTGCAGCAGAAGGCGGTCCTCCTCGATCGTCCATGGAGTGAACGCGGAGTTCATCGGCAAGGCTTTTCGCGCGTGAAGCTGCACGAGAGCATCCTCGACCCACGGCTGCAGGCTGATCTCGGTGCTGAGCTGCGTCTCCGCCTCGTCGCGCTCGTCGCAGGATCCACAGATCAGTCGGAGGTTGTCGAGAGCGTCAAGCTTCTTGAGAACATTTGTCCATCGCCACTTGATTGCATCTTTGCCTCGTTTGATGGCGGATTCAAACGGCCACTGCTCTGCCACCTTTGGCAACGAGATGCCGTCTCGAACGTGGCGCAGCAGCACGAAGGCATCCATCTCCGGACGCCACGGGCTGGCGCTGTGCTTCGACCGGCCTGATGCGTGGACGGCCATGAGGCTGCGACGCAGAGCATCGGGAAGAGGTGATATGTAGTCCTCTTGCACCACTGGGTCGGACGAGAAGGGACCGCCGTTCATGGCAGCGAGAGCGTAGAGGAGCAACCTGTGCATCGCCAGCACAGTGGCAGCACGTGCCTCGAATCGGTCAGGGGATCGTACGGCGATCGTTGGACACGTCCCTGTCCCTTCGACGGCGAACTCCTCCCCATTGGGGCTTTTGGAAAAATGCTCTCCAGAAGACTTGAGTTGTAAAATCACGACTGCGGCGTCACCCCAGGTCTTGGACACAACAGCGATGCCGACTTAGTGTGGGGAGGGTCGGCAAGCAGTCACTCACTAGGCGGCGCCGCAGGGCCGGGGCACTGGCCACGGCCTCGCCGACCACTAGAAGCTCCTCCGGACGACTCCTCCTCCGACCAACCAAGACTCATGCGGCTCCGGCTCTACTAGCGAGGCGAATGACATTTTCGACACCCTCGGCGACCATCTCGGCTATACGGTTCCGACTCCCGGCTTCGGCTGGTAGTCGACAAGCTGCCGAGCCCAAATCACTGTCAGTGCCAGATTTCTGGTTGGCTTCTAAAAATCTCAACAACACGAAAACTCTCTCTCTAAAATCTCTCTCTCTCTCTCTAGAAGGCGGACCCACTGACGCGCACTAAGTTGGTGGGCGGGGTGGCGCGGGAGCGCCGGGAGGCACTCACCCACTAGCCCGCTCGCCGGCAGCCCACTCACTACGCGCACTAACTTAGAGCGCGGGGTGGCGGGAGGCACTGACCCACTAGCCCGCTCGCCGGCAGCCCACAACAATATACCTAAAACTCACTACACTACGCGCACTAAGCCACTACTCGAGTAACCCACTAACTTAGAGCGCGGACGTCCCTTCCGCACGTTGGTGCGCGTAGTGTCCCGGCCTCCGACCACGACTCCCGGGAGCACTTCACCACTTGACCCGCCCGCCTCGGCCGCGCTCTCGCGGTGCACGCCCTCCCCTCTCGCGGCCCTTCCCTCTCGCGCCCGTTTCCGATGACGTTCCCCGACGAGTGGGGCGCCGGCGGCGGGGACGGCGTCCCGACCGAGTCGAAGCTCGTCCAGCTCTCGATGCAGAGCAATGAGGCGCTCCTCATCAAGACGCTGCTGGCGCGGAGCTGCCCGAGTGCAAGGCTGAGCCGCGTGCAGCGCGTGCAGAACAAGAAGCTGTGGTGCGAGTACGCCCACTACCGCGACGCATCGCTCGTCCACACCTGCGCCGGCGGCGACGTCAACGAGATGCTCCTCTTCCACGGCACGGCGGAGCGGGCGGCGGAGGATGTGCTCGCGCATCAGAACGGGCTCGACCCGCGCTTCTCGAACGGCGGCTTTTACGGCCAGGGCATCTACCTCGCGGAGGACCCGTCCTACCCGATCGGCGGCCGGTACGCGCACCGCATCTCCGGCTCGGGCGGGCGCCGCGTGCAGCTGCTCATCGTGAAGGCCGCCCTCGGCTCGCAGCAGGAGATGGGGCAGTGCATCAGCGCGGAGACGAGGGCGATGCGGATGCCGGACGTGCGCGTCGAGGGCCCTCCCCGACTCCTCTACGACAGCGTGCGCGGCGGGCCCCACCGCCCCTTCGTCTCCGGCGGAGGCGAGAACGGGTGCGACGCGTCCTTCATACACGTAGTGTACGAGTCGCGCCAGATGTACCCAGCGTACGTGATCGAGGTCGAGATGGAGATGGGGGCCGAGGTGGTGGCGGCCGTGCAGAACAACTCAGCCGAGGGGAGTGCGAGCGCCGGCCCGGCACCCAAGCGGCAGCGCCACGCTGCGCCGAGCGGCGGCGGCGGCGGCGGCAGCGGCGGCGGCTCCAGCAGCGGCGGCGGCAGCGGCGCTCATGTCCCCGCCGCTGCGCCACCGAGCGACGCGGAGGTGCGGACGATGGGCGTGGCGGCGGCGACGGCGGCGCTGCGGGCGCACGGGTCGGTCAGTCGCGTCGCGCTTGCGGCTTGCGGGCGGTTGGTTGATCTGTGCAAAGAGGCGCAGAACAGGCAACCTGCGGCGGACGCGGGCGCGATCGAGGCGATCGTGGCGGCGATGCAGGCGCACCCGCAGGTGGCGAACTTGCAGCAGAATGGTTGCATGGCGATGGCCAACGTGAACCCCCCCGCTGCCCGGCCGCGTTGCGCCGGCACCGACGCCGCAGGAATCGCACGCAAGCAGCGCGCAGCAGACGCGGGCGGCATCGAGTTGGTCGTGGCGGCGATGCAGGCTCACCCGCAGGATGCGGGCGTGCAGCAGGGTGGCTGCATGGCGATGGCCAACGTGTGCTCTGGCACCGACGCCGCAGGGCGGGCGCGGAGGCAGCGCGCAGCAGACGCGGGCGGCATCGAGGTGGTTGTGGCGGCGCTGCAGGCTCACCCGCAGGATGCGGGCGTGCAACAGGATGGCTGCTTGGCGATGGGCAACGCGTGCGCTGGCACCGACGCCGCAGCGTTCGCACGCAAGCAGCGCGCAGCAGACGCGGGCGGCATCGAGGTGGCTGTGGCGGCGATGCAGGCTCACCCGCAGGTGGCGGGTGTGCAGCGGTTTGGCTGTTTGGCGCTGGTCAACAACGTGTGCTTCAGCAGCGACGCCGCAGCGCGGGCGCGGAGGCAGCGAGCTGTGACTGCGGGCGCGACCGAGACGGCGGTTGGGGCTATGCAGGCGCACCCGGGCGACGCAGCTGTTCAGAGGCACGGGCAGCGTTGCGTCATTTTCTTGCCTGAAGGGATCCGGGCCGCGCGGACCAAAAGAGCGCACCATGAACAGGAAGAACGCATAGGGTCCGGTCTGTGGGAAGTGCTTGCGCCATCTAGCTGGTTGTCTGTCTGAACAGGGTTTGTCTCTGAGCGCACAGGCTCCGTCGTGTGGGAAGAGCTTGCGCGCGATCTCTACTTGTCTGGGGCGGCGGCGTGGGGTTGCGTAATCCCCAAGTGTAACAGGGAGAAAAGAAACCCTAGAAATCTCGATCATCTTCGATCAACAACGACGGCGCCGTAGACCTGAGAGCCAGCGGACGGAGACGAGAGACACCGCGATGAAGGGCTGCCAGCTTCTCCTTGTGCTCGCTGGGCTCCATCCGGCTGGCGCGCACGTCCTCTTCAGGGGCCGTGCCGGTGTGCTGCAGCAGCCACTGCCGGTCCTGCGGAGCACGCGTGCGAGTGTCGTCTGCTCTGAGCTCGAAGTGGAGCGCGCCCGCCTCGAAGCGCAGCTGCGGAACGGCTATGACGCCGTCGCCGTTCGCCGGCTCCAAGAGATCGAGGCGCGCCTCGCTGCTGCACCGCCTCCCGGCGGCCAAGCGTGGCCGCCGCCGCAGCAGCAGGGCATGCCGCCGCCCTTCAACCTGCCGCCGCCGCCATTCGGCTCAGCGCCGCGGCCGCCCGCACCCCAGTCACAGCCGGGCCGCCAGGGCCCAACGCCCACGCAGCGGCCGCCCGTGCCTCAGACGCCGCCACCGCAGGGCATGCGGCCGCCGTTTGGGCAGGCTCCGCAAGCGCCGCAGCAGCAGCCGCCTCACTTTGGTGTGCGGCCGCCGCAGCAGCAGCGTGCGCCAGCGTGGCCCCCCCCGGGCGGAGTCGCGGCGCCTCAGCCTCCTCCGCGAGGAGCACAGGCGCCTGGACTGCCGCCGCCGTTCGGCCTCCCTCCTCCGATGCCGCGCCCGGGCACGCCGCCGTTCGGCCTCCCCCCTCCGATGCCGCGCCCGGGCACGCCGCCGCCGTTCGGCCTCCCTCCTCCGATGCCGCGCCCGGGCACGCCGCCGCCGTTCGGCCTCCCTCCTCCGATGCCGCGCCCGGGCACGCCGCCGCCGTTCGGCCTCCCCCCTCCGATGCCGCGCCCGGGCACGCCGCCGCCGTTCGGCCTCCCTCCTCCGATGCCGCGCCCGGGCACGCCGCCGCCGTTCGGCCTCCCTCCTCCGATGCCGCGCCCGGGCACGCCGCCGCCGTTCGGCCTCCCTCCTCCGATGCCGCGCCCGGGCACGCCGCCGCCGTTCGGCCTCCCTCCTCCGATGCCGCGCCCGGGCACGCCGCCGCCGTTCGGCCTCCCCCCTCCGATGCCGCGCCCGGGCACG